TGCTGCTAATTGTACAAATAAAGTAAATGAGAGTATCATATTACGTTCCTCTCTGGAGAAATTAATTCCACACTATCCCCTATAACCATCTTAATAGATATTCAAGTGTATCAGAAGGATTAAGATTGTTGACAGGCAATAAAATGTTGTGAATGATCAGAGCGTTTTTTTTTTGCGTTATATAACAACAAATCACTCCAACCTAAATATTGATATCCCTTAAAATAGTTTCTTTCCAAGTATCTCTCGACATTTTGAGAACGATTACTAAAAAAGTTCATATATTTAGGAAAATTATACTAATATATGAGAGATAGTTATTCGTAGAATATGCTTCAGTTTCTTGAAGCACCGAATGGCCAAGGTTGTTCCCGCTGTTTATCTCACAATCAGGAGCTGAAAGTATTTGTTCTCCATAATGATTTCGTTGTAATCAGTAAGATTGGGTAAGGATTCCAGTTGCAAAAAATACCCACGAGTTCGTGAGAATAACCAACACATTTTACTGCACTCTACGCAGATATACTCGCAAATATGCGTGGGAGTTGTACACATCAGTGTGACAACTGAAAAAAAAAACCCAAGAGAGGTTGAAAAAGTTGGAAGATTCCCACTTTGTCCAAGAGTATTTAGACGCAACAACCCAAACGCTTTTGTGAATCACGTAATCCGATTACTCTTGAGAATTACCCAAAATGGAATAAGGACTTTTTTTAGTTTACTAAGCTCGCTAACGGGAAAGATATCTTTACATCAAACATATCAAAACAGAATTCTTAAAACTCTTATGAGTAGCATTTACTGAGATAATTAATACTGTACCAATCACTATAAACATATTCTTTGTATGGTATCTCTACAAGATATTGCACTAGGCTAATTCATTCTCACTCTCAACGGGCAGAAATTTTGTTTGTACTCCAATATTATAGCAAAAAATCTCTGATGATGGAAATGTCATTGGCGAAATCGATTATGCAAAAGCTAATCCGCATGCTTGCAGTAAATGCTAAGCAAAAGAGTAACGATATGTTTTCAAGGATCACTTGTGATATATGGTATTGTGTATATTGGGTACGGCAGCCTGGACTAGTCGGCCAGCAAATTTCACTTTCGCAAGAAGGCAGATACTATGAGTACAGCTTTCGGAAACATGAACAATGGTAAGGTAACATTGTCAAGTCAAAGTTATATTTTCAATACAAATCTCAACACTACATTTTAGATGAGAAATGAAATACAAGAATTTGTGCTGTTTGAAATTGTAAAAATCTCAAGATACCTTTACTCAAAAGTAAACCAGCAAGAAATTCTGAAAT